TTTAAATCTATCAAATGGCAGTATGTCTCAACTGCTGAGATTAGAAAGATAATCAAATCTTTGAAAACCAAGTCTTCACATGGTTATGATGAAATTTCCACTAGAATTTTAAAAGCAAGTATGCCATATATAACTTCGCCACTAACTTACATTTGTAACCAATCCCTTGCCCAGGGAACGTTTCCAGACAGAATGAAATTTGCTGTCGTTAAGCCAATTTTCAAAAGTGGTAATAAATATGAACCAGCCAACTATAGGCCTATTTCATTATTGTCAGCCTTTTCTAAGGTTCTTGAAAGGGTTATCTATAATAAATTGTATGAACATATAGACAATAATCTTATATTGGACAATAATCAATATGGTTTTAGACCTAATTCATCTACAGAGAAAGCATCTTTCAAATTAATAGAGGAAATACTAAAAGCAATGAATAATAGACAGTTTGTTGGAGGAATATTTTGCGACTTACACAAAGCCTTTGATTGCATCAATCATGATATACTTATCAAAAAATTAGAGTTTTATGGAATAACTGGCAAATTTGGTGCCTTAATTAAATCTTACCTGAATGGAAGATATCAAAGAGTAACCCTTGTCCCTAACAGTTCTATTAATAGCTCGTCTAGTTGGGCAGAAGTAAAATTTGGTGTACCCCAAGGTTCAATTCTTGGCCCACTTATTTTCCTCTTGTATATAAATGACATAACTAAGGTTTCAATTAATGGAACAAACATATTCTTATATGCAGATGATACAAGTATAATAGTGACTGATCCAGAATATGCCAACTACAAATCAACCATGACCAGAATATTTTGCAATATTAATACATGGTCCAGAACCAATCTGTTAAAATTAAATATTCATAAAACCCACATTCTCCAGTTCACTTTAATGAACTATGAGGATCATAATATGAATAACAATATTGATCAAAATTTACCAACTAACTTAGAGTGTATCAAATTTTTAGGCCTAAATATTGATAATAGGCTGTGTTGGAAGTATCATATTGATTACCTGGTTACTAAATTGAGTTCGTCTTGCTTTCTCATGAGATCAGTTAAGCCTATGATATCATTAAGTAGCTTAAGAATGATTTATTTTGCTTATATACATTCTGTGATGACATATGGAATTATCTTCTGGGGCAATTCTTCATACATGACGAAACTTTTTATGATCCAAAAGAAAATTATAAGGATTATGATGGGATTAAAGAAAAGAGATTCATGTAGAGACTCTTTCAAGGAAATGAAAATTCTGCCTTTGTGTTCGCAATACATATATTCCTTAATGCAACACACTATAAATAACATGCATTTGTTTACAAGAAATACGGAGGTTCATAATATTGGTACCAGACAAAATGTTAACCTATTTCCCCCGAGTACTTCTCTTACTAAAGTTCAAAAGGGTGCATATTATTCTGGTATAAAAATCTTCAATCATCTGCCTAAAGAGCTGAAACAATTATCTAATAACCAGAAATCCTTTGAATGTGCCCTAAAAAGATTTTTACATGCTAACTCTTTTTATGCATTAAATGAGTATTTTAATTACAAATGTACATAAATTTGAATGCTTAACGTCACATTTTAATATAGTTAGTATGGGAGATGTGAGGGGTTGTATTGTGGTTACTAGTGACTTATGTCTGTTAATCAGGATATTATCTTTTTGCCTCGTATTGTTGTATGTGTTAGACAGTTAATGTGGGTGATCTTGGTTGTGTGGTTTGTGTTACTTTGTGTATGTGTTTGATGACTATTTCCGCATCCTGGGTCTGTTCCCTGTATAGATGTTTATGGAAAGTGGAGGATGTGTATGTATGTATATGACGAGTCCTGTATCGATGTTTTTCTGATTTATGGGAAAATGAAATAAAGAAAGTATTTAATTTTTTGGGTAATCTGAGTGAAATTGTATTAATTCTAAGTTTTTATAGTAATGCACTTTTTAAATTATGTTTAGTAATTACAATTGTAACAAGTTTCTTGTTTTTGTTTTTTTTTTCCATTGCCTATGTTACTTGACTAGTGTGTGTATTATTATTATTGTTATTATTTTAGTTGCGTGACTTATGTAATTTATTACATGTATACATCTATTATTATCAAAGGGACTATTTCCACATCTTAGGTTTTTTGCCTGTACAGATATATGGAAAATAAAGGAAATGAATGAATGAATGAATGATAAGTTAATAGTTACTCAGGTTAGTCAAGAAATTCCATGCCTTATATGGAGCCTGCAAGTTCATTACCATGTTCACAAGAACCCAACACTGAATACTGTCCCAAATCAAATAAATCCAGTCCATATCTTCACTCCACTTCCTACAGTCCAACTTCAGTCTCATCCCCAATTATGTCTAGGTCTACAAAATACTCTCTTCCCTTAGGTTTTCGAAGTAAAATTTTGTAAGCATTCCTCAACTTTCCCATGCATGCTACTGCCTGTCTGATTTTATTTATATAGATGTTTGGAATCCAGAAGAGTCACTTCTATGGAAATGCTAGAACAGACTGCTGCACAGGAAGCAACAATAGCGATACTGTAATTCTAACAGTGAGCATTGCATAGAGATGAGTTTCCACGGTTATAACAGAGGCTCACTGTATAGCAACCGCCGAGGTATAAATAGCCCAGCTTCGACAAGAAGAAGTCAGTCTGGTACAAACCGCCGAAGAAGTCAGTCTTGGAATAGCTGCTACTGAAGATAGTTGGAGCTACAGAAGTACTGGCCGAGATATTGTGTAAGCAGTAACTGTAATACTGCAGGTGCTAATGGTTGTAAAGTGTGTACGTGTGAGCGTCCAATAAAGATTCGCTGAATCTGAGACCCACGTATATTTATTTGTCACGTGACACACCCTACACATGACAATATAATTACTGAATTGATAAAATACACTTAAATATTGCTATCTTATTGAAGAGTGCTATATATGACAACATGTCACTCACGTGTAATATCCTAGAATGCTGCATTTGCACACCATATACATCTGTGAGTTGAGAGTTACAAACTTCTCTGTGGTACAGCTGTCTCCACTCCACATATTCTCATTCCATGTTGCACACTGTGAAAACAGCACACAAATACTTTCAATACATCTGTTGTAATATTCAGCACAAATGTACCTAACCCTCAGTGATTTCTAGGACATACAGTTCCCTTTTGTTCTCTATTTCCTATCCTAAAATGTAAGAGAATCAATGCTGGCAGGTCATAATGTTCACCACGGGTCTGCACTTCATCATTCAGATTCTAACTGCTAATACCAACAAGAGGTTACATTCACATGGTCACCATACATTTATGACATAAATAAAAGTAAAATAAACCCAGGATAAACATGCCACCATTCAATCAGAATCCTTATCTTCACAACTTCTATCCAAATCTAAAAGATTAAAATGCACATAAAACTATGAATTTACTTGTTTTATACAGATGCAAAATTTCATGTCTCGATCTTAAGGAAGAACAGTGATTAAGATACATCTGAGAATAAAATGCAGTGGCAAATATGTGGACCTAGGGAAGATGAACTATTTGGGGAAAGGGAGAAAATTCTGTAACAGGTAGCTTCACAATTTGTACCCTTCACTTAATACTGTAAGGGTGATGCAATGATGAAAGTTATGAATATGTGAAAGAAGAACTGCATACAAAATTTTAACTGGAAAAACTAATGCACCCAGTTAGGGGGTTAAAGCATAAATTTCGTATTTGTAATTTATTTAATGACACTGTCAGAACTCAAGTTATATATTGCTGAGTGACTGGATGACAGTGAATAAAGAATTGGAAAGGATGTGAAAGGAAGCAGTTGTGAACAAATTTCTGGTTACATCCCAGAATTGGTCTCGAGGGACTGAAAAAACCCATGCAAAACCTCAGTCAATATAGTCAGATGCCCTGGCCAATATTCAAACCGGGCACCTCTAATTACAAATCAGAAATGTTACCACTTCAGTTAACTACTTCCTGTGTAGCATAAATACAAAGATTATAATAAACTGAGCCTCTCAGAACGATATTAGTGGATATGAACAAAACTGTCCTGACTCAGCAAAGGATCCAACCAGTCTCAAGACAAGAGAGTTCACCATCTTATCATAAACCACCTGATTTCAAGATATTTTTATAGTTCATAAAGTTTGGGGCTAATGATGAATTCGTGGCCAGTTTCCATTCTTTCAGCCCATTCAGTGTTAAATGCCTTCATGTAAAGGCAACCACTGATCAACAAAGATAAAAAGCAACAAAATTGTTTGTCTAAAAATAATTAGGATTTGTGCTTTTACCGGTGCGGATATTTTATATTTTTCCTTCTACCCTGAAGATGGAGGCGATACGTTCCTCCAAAACGTCGGTTAACACCACATATACATGGTGCCAAATCCCAGAAGACTGCTTTCTTCAGGATTTGTGAAAGTTTAAAATAAGTAGTGCTAAATATTTCTGAATAAAAATTAAAGGCATTTAATGCAAATGAGTAGCAAAAATGACAAAATATTTTGATTCCTCTTTGTAATGCAACCCTCATGAGCAGGGATTCCAGTACTGCAGTTACTTACCTGCAATACCTGATCAACCTGAAACGTTGTGTTGTCTACTGGGATCTTAAAGGTAAGAGGATGGTCCAGTTTACCAGGAGGAACCAACCCTCTTTCTGTGATCACCAGTTGCACCTCAAACACCATACTACTCCTGTAACATTATGACCATCTATATTTTACTTTTTCAATGGCCTTAATTTAAATTGGTAGTTCTGTTTACTTTCAGAGATAACACATTCTATTTACAAACATTTCACAGCAATATGTCCAAGACATTACTGATCTTGACTAATCACAATCATGATCATGTTATATGATGTCACCCTCTTCTGCTGTGTGGTGAAATGTTGCTAAGCACAAAAACTGCCAAAATAAAATATGCATTAAAATTTGAAAATAACAGAGCACATTAGAGGACATAAAATTTGTAATAAAATATTAAGAAAAGTTTTATATATTACATGTCCAACTAACCTGACATGTAAATGTTCAGTTTCTTTAAGCGTTTTAATATCTGAACTTACTCTTTAAATGAAATGGGAAGGAAGCTGTCATGGTTTGAATAACGTACTCTCCTGATGCCTGCCTGGAGAAACTGAGCCACAAAAATGTCAGTAAGGAGAGCCAGAGACCTGACTGAGATTCTAATCAAGTATCTCCAAACAAAAATATTATTTATTTAATGTCATTAGTAGATCAGAGCATACAATGTCAATAGTAATATAAGTAAAAATGACTTGGAAAGGCTGTGAACAGAAGCAATCATGGCCAGATTTTAGGTACTACATTAGCATTTACCTTGAAAAATGAGGGAAACCACAAGAAACCTCAGTAAGAATAGGTAATGTCCCAACCAAGATTCAAACTACCCCAAGAACGCTTAAGTGTCACCACTTCAGCAACATGCCCAATGCTTGGACAAGTAACATGAAAGGTACCCCAAGAATGTATAACAAGAAAAATTATGAAGGTCCAGACAAAACTGGAGCAGAATATCATCCATAATATACTTACAGAAAAACAAAGGAATAGGAAGGAATAAGCCTAAATTCCATTCTAATAATATTGAGGAAGATGGGGGAGAAAAATAAAGATCTTTGAAACACCTTTACATTATTCAATTCAAGATGATTAAATAACAAGAAGGGTTCAACTGGGATACAATGCTGTGCAGTTCACTGAAGTAAATGTTCTGGAGAAACACACTGCCTTTATCTTCAGAGTCAAAGAATAAGCTAAGCAAGAACCAGCAAGCAGCAACTTTGGTGGACTTTCAATAGACTACACGGTGCTATATCCCAGAAGATGGAACCCTCCATAACACTGCAGTGGGAACCTCAAATCCTGCAGCTAATAAGCACAGATTAAAACAGAAAATCTGCTACCTGCAAGAGCTAGGACTGAGGATTATTCATTGACTGGTTTTATATTAAAGAAAAACTTAGCCCATTACAATAACAGAAATCCTAAGGTATGGAAAGAGGAGACATACACACTTGCAGATGGCCCACCACACAAGACAGTTACATATCAGTGGTAAAGAAACATGAAAGTTGCTGGGGGTCTATATAACTAAAAAGCAAGATCTTAAATTGAAGAAAGCAGTCTTCTGGGACAGTCTGCTTTTACCGGTTCTCACGGTCTCTTCGCTTTGCAGATTTCTTATATTTTTTCTTCTACCCTGAAGATGGAGGCGATACGTTCCTCCGAAACGTCGGTTAACACCACATATACACGGTGCCAAATCCCAGAAGACTGCTTTCTTCATAGTCACCGCCGTGAAAGCCTCAAATCTTGCAAAAGTTTTATTCACATAAAAAAATTGTTGCACTTGATGGAACTTATTTAGTCATACGTTATAAAATGCTATGGCTCAAGAAAACGTCTCTTATAAAAATATGAAAATCCTGAGTGCAGGCAGGTTGGAATAATTCCTCCATAACCCTGCAAGTCATAGAAGGCAACAAAAAGGGAGCCCAGTGCCTGGGGGATAACTAGGACACCCTATCACTGGGGGACATAAATTCGGGGACCTGGTCCTCCAGCTTAGGGGTTGGATACAAGGCTGACAACCTTGCTCAGTAAGAAATTACTGTTGCAAAACCACAGAAGTGAAAACTGGAAGGTCTAATTCACAATGGAATAGATAGATCTGGTAACTCTTCTAAGGAAGGCTATGGCTCAAAAAGGGCCATTTTGCCAGCGATGATGATGATGAATAGGAAACATACCTCTTTTGTGCTTTTACTTCTGATGCATTCCTCCCCACGGCCACATCTGTAAGATAGTCAGTAGGGAATACTGCACCACCAAGGCAAGTCTTACCAGAAGGGCCATACTTCTCAGCAACAGTCTGGCCAAGGTAAATCTGAAGGAATGACAAATGCTTCCTACGTCAGTCCACTGAGCAATATAGTCTAACATGTGAACCAAATGGTAACGCGTACAGCCTCACAACTAGATTTAGTTGCGTGGTGAGCTTCGGGTTCTGGTCCCTCTACTCTTAGAGAAGAAGCCCTCAGTAACTATGGGACAGACTTGTGTTTCTACAGTCATTCTGGAAGTAACAGTAAAGAGAATCCTAGTTCCTACCGCAAATGTTCCCCATATTTTGAATGATGAGTTGTTTTTCAGAAAGCTTGAAAATATTTGATTTTGATTAAAATGCAGGGTGTACTGCAAACAATTAAAATTTGAATTAAATTCTCCTGAAAATTTCACCTTGGACCCTGAACTTTATTAAACTGTGTTCAGTGTTTGCAGATGAAGCATGCAGATGTAGAGACCTAGCTTTCCCATTATGCTCCCATTTTTATCCTCTTAAATCAAATAACACAAAAAATACAGTTTCAAATTTACTTTTAAATTCGTAACTTATGACACCTGTATTCCTTTACTGCCAACTCCCTTCCTTGAACCTAATTCACTTCTTTGTGTGTAAACTCATTATGGAGATTTTTTAATATATGGGTTAAGAAATCAGTAGCCTGATGATATGAAATAAGGAAACAGTTTCACAGCTCTGAACAGTAACATTATCAGAAGTAAATGTTAAAATATCAATGACAATAGTGTAGCACCAGTTGAGAACTTTGTGGGAAGTCTCATATTAACTTCTACTATCTCCAATATTGCTTTCCAATCACACAGGTCATCAAATAATACACTGAGACTAACGTTTAATCCCATCTCTTATGAATACACATAAAAATAGTCATTCTACACTCCTCTACACAGTATATCACATATCCACATCAAAATACAAGTATAATCAATATTAACAGAACACATAAGATACACTGAAACAAAAAACTGCTTTCTCGTTTGTGACCTTGTACATAACTTACATTCATGAAAAATGTTAATGCTCAAAACTCATTGCCATGATATCCAAAAATTGTAATTTTAGAGATTTCACTTCACACTTATGGATTTTGTTTATATTAACTGGAAAAATTGTCACTGTCAGAATAAACTCTGACTCTATTTCAAGCCATTTTTTGGTTTGTCAGCTGTAAGTTTCCCATTCATTGGTCCTAACTGCAAATTAATATACTGCTGTATAGTGACTAACATTATCACAACAGACAAGAAGTATATTCTTTTCATCAATTTCATATGTGTAATTCTAAGAGTATATAAAATTAGTTAAAGTCTGATTTAATTATTTGACAGAAACACACATAATATATGCTTTGCTGCCTTCAGTCAATATCATACTTTGCATAAAATGCTCATTAGTTCTGGAGAAGTAAGAAGCAGATTAAATTACAGACACTAAAAATAAATACCTACCAATCCTGTTTCATTTATAGCTGGAGGAAACTTTGTTCTGTCTGGTATATTAAAGTTAGCAGTATTCATGATCTGATCCTTGGAAAGAAGTTTCTGTACACTAAAATGTACAATTGATGATCCTGGAGAGAGGAAACACAAACAGTTCATTCAAACTGCTAAACATCTTCCCACTGTCACTAGGCAAGAACCTTGAACTTCTCTAACCAAAGTGATGGAATCAAAACCACAAGTAAAAATCTGGTTACTTAGGATCATGCCTTAGTTTACAATGCATGGAAGGTGGATTTGCTTGACCACATGTCTCCTCTCAACCCAAAAGATAAATTTAAAATCATGAAACAAGAAACCATAACATAGCAGGGACCTACAGGTACACAAATGAAAGATGAATATTAAATATCAGTACTTCAATCACTGACAAAATTCTATAGCTTTGGTTATATGTATTGACAACCAGAGGAGCTGTGGATAATGTTTCTCTTGTAAGCTATATTGATTCTATTCCCCTTCTTGAATTTTCCTTTTTTTACATTTTCTGCTTTCTAAAATAACAACTGCTTTAACAACTTTCTTTCCTAGTTATAGTTTTCTGAGTTATGATACTTTACATTCTTACTGATGATACAAACATTTCTGAGGAACATATTGCCTTCTTCTTCAGGGATGAAGTGATCTAAAGTGAGTATGATATATACATAGTCAGGTTATACAGACATGGAGCATGACAGGAGGGTCCCAGTTCAGGTCAAGAGAATTGTTAGGACTGAGTGATCATCTTCCTGCCAACATACACATATAACCTGACTGCATCCTCACCCTGATCACTTAAAACCTGAAGATGGGGGACAGCAGGTTCCTCTGAAATGCTGATGTCAACCATAAAGAATACACAATGTCAAGTTCCAGACAACACTATCATGAAAAAGTCAGATTTTATAACACTGTGTCTTTCCTTTTACCTCGTTTGGTCTCAATACTGATTATTCTGCTTCCCTAAATGTGTTTCTGCCATGTGTATTAGTCTTAGCAAAATTTCTAGTTTTTATTTTGTTTTGTAATATAGAATGACTACACATATCTTCTTTATTCCCTTAGCCACTTCTCATAGCATTTTCATATTCTGCATTGCATTACATTACATTACATTGCATTGCATCCCATGGATAGTTAGTCAAAATGACTGTAGGATGTGGAATATACAATATAAATACAAAACATATGTACAGACACAATGGAGTTCTCACACAAGAGAAACCAAGAATACACACTGACTACACACAAGGCTATTTAAAGAATCATAAGTTATTTTCTAGACAACAGGTATTCATCAACAGAGTAGAATGAATGTGTATTTAAGTACCGTTTCAGTGCTATTTTAAATTGTGCCTTTTCATTCATGAGACCTTTGAGATCAGTTGGCAGGTTATTAAAAATGTTGATCCCAGCATAATATGCACTTTTCTGAAAGCATGAGAGGTTAGCAATTGGTTTATGAAGACAGTGTTTCTGTCTTGTGTTAACACTGTGTACATCGATATTCGTCTGAAAATGTCCGTTATTTGTAATGAAGTTTATTAATGAATACATATATATATATTCACAAGGCAAAGTTAAGATCTGTAGTCTCTCAGATAGATCTCTACAGGAATTACGGGATTTGACACCCGTCATGATCCTAACAATTTTCTTTTGCAATGTAAATACCTTTTTACTGTCAGATGAATTACCCCAGAAAATTATTCCATACTTCATTAAAGAGTGAAAATAAGCAAAATAGATTGATTTGAGAGTTTCAGTGTTACTAATATGTAACATGAATCTAACTGCATAACATGCTCTACTTAACTTTGGAATCAATTGATCGATATGGTTTTTCCAGTTTAAATGATTATGAATTTGCAAGCCAAGGAATTTTGTGTTTACTCCCTCTTCTATATATTTATCATTATATCATATGTTTAATGCATATTGTGGTGAGTTTTTTGTTATAAATTTTATTACATTTGTTTTTTCTAGGTTCAGGGACAGCTTGTTTGCAGAAACCCATTTACTCACTTGTGAAAGAACTGAGCTTGATAACATGCAGAAATCATCAAAATTTTTACCAGAAACTATAACACTAATGCCATCTGCAAATATTATAGGTATTTATGAGGTCCTTAGTGTACAAGGGAGGTCATTTATATAAATTATGAAAAGTAAAGGCCCCAAAATTTACCCTTGGGGAACTCCATGTTTTATTATTCCCCAGTTTGAGTAGGTACTTTGGACTGAATTTGATGATTTTACTTCAATCTTTTGTTTTCTATCTGTCAGGTAGGATCTGAACCAACTTAACACTGTTCCTTGAATGCCAAAAAAATGTAATTTAGTTTTTAAATATCATGATTTACACAGTAAAAAGCCTTTCCACCGACATGCATTTTTTTATTAATAGATTTCAACACTGTCTGTTAACTTAAAGGCTGCATTTTCAATGGAAATTCCTTTCCAAAAGCCAAACTGTTCTGGGACTAGTATATTGTTACTCTGAAAATAATGGCTTAACCTATTGTGCATAACTTCTCCAGGTACTTTAGAGAAAGTAGTTAGCAGTGAAATTGGCCTGTAGTTTGACATACTTGAGCAATGCGTTCTACTTAGGCTCCGTTCAGCGGTTTCTCTTCCTACCCCCCCTCTTTTTTCTTCTTTTCCTCGGAAGTTCTTGTGTCTAGAAAGTTCTTCCGTCCTGGCCTATCACGTGTTCCCCCTCCCCCCTCCAACTGGTTCTGTTTTTTTTTTTGGAGACAAGTAAGGTAGAGAGAGAGGAACACTCTAGGACGAGAAGTCGGGGAAGGCAGGTAACAAAAAAATTCCTTTTGAGCATGGCCAGTCAAAATTCGGTTTTGGAGTGTTTCTGTGGAGGTTTGGGATGAGGAATGCTGTATTGGCATTTTCTGGGGGCTATATTTACATTTTTGCTTGGCAATATTGGGTCAGTATTTTTCTTGTATTATATTGTATTCTATTATTTGTTTGCTAGAGAGGAGTAGTAGCTAAACTGGAGTGCTCTAGCTTCGACCCCCTAAGTGGGTGTGTTCATTAATATTATGCGATGTGACTGTTTCAAGGTCGCAATAGTGGATCTGGACAGTCCAATGTATTGTACTGTATTCTATTGTATTTGTCATATTAAACTTTTGTTACTTGGAAGTTTTAGGGGGCCATTGTAAATACTGCTTAGACATCCCTTAATATCTCGGGAAGTATTAAGAACGCAACAGCAAGAACTAGGAGACAGAAGCAGCGTCTCCCCCTTGGCAGGAGGAAAGGTAAAGAGGGGACGGTCAGCTCATACTATGATTTATTTCACCGTCTTCTAGTGCATACACTTATCTACCTCACTCCTCTCTCTCTCGCACTACATGTTTCAGCACAAAAGTGCCATCTTCAGGTGCTTATTCGATTAACGTTAAACTATTAAAATAATTAAAATATATATTTATCATATATATTTTAATTATTTTAATATGAAGACGACAAGGCATGCAGTGAACTAGTTTAACGTTAATTGAATAAGCACCTGAAGATGGCACTTTTGTGCCGAAACATGTAGTGCGAGAGAGAGAGGAGTGAGGTAGATAAATGTATGCACTAGAAGACGGTGAAATAAATCATGGACTTAAATCAGTGCAACAGGACGCTAAAATATAACAGCTCATACTAGTCTTGTCCCCTTTCTTACATAGTGGTCTTACTACTGAAATCTGAAGACAATCAGGAAAGATTCCTGTGGATAGTGAATGATTACAGATGTGAGTTAATGGGCTACTGATTAGAGATGCACAAACTTTTAAAATTTTACTTGTTATTCCATCATTTCCTGAAGAGTTTTTTGTTTTGAGGGAATGTATTATACTTTTTATTTCAGTTTCAGTGGTTGGAATGGTTTCGATACAAGGGAATTTTCTATGAAATGCCTCTCTCAAAAATTAAATGACATTATCTCCCACTTCCTGATGCAAGTTTAGATTTTCTGTAATTGTTAGAAAAAAGTATTAAAGGCATCCGCAATTTCTCCAGGGTCCTCAACTTTTTCATCATTTATCAGGAGAGATTGTATCTGTTCAGTCAGATGAACACTACTTTCACTTTGTGACCTGTGGCTCATTGTAGTCAAACAAAAACTTCTTATAGTTAGAAGCATTCCAAATGTACTGGTTAAGTGACAAGTTCTTTAGTAGCATTTAAATTAGTTTACCTGTGTATATGAAAAATCAGATTAGTTTTTGTAAGATGTTATAGCTTTCTTCTGTTGTTAAAACACTTCTTTGAAACAAAACCTCAGACTTTAATGAACAGTCATACAATATTGTAAGCTATTTTTATATTTACATATTTTTAAATTCATAGGTTTTGCTGGAAAATCCAGGTTAAAAATGTTTTCTATTACATATACAAGTAACACAATTTTTACTGTAGTAAATGAAATGCAATATAGCAGTCTTCCAGACAGACAATCCTAGAGAATTACATACAGGCCAAGTTCAAAAATAACTAATCCAATTGGAATGCTTTAATCAAAACCTTATCAATCTCATTACAAATAATAATCAGTAAGTGTAAAATTCAAATTTAAATTTTCTGACAAAAGTTAGCCTGAACCAGTGTAAAGTGAATACCTCTATTCTATTCAATGCATGACAAAATTCGTGCTCACCAATGGCAATCTTTTGCTCCTTCCCCAAACAAAGATGATACATATAGGTGCTCAAGTCCTGCAGCAAAGTTTCCTTTTCTTCCAGAACAACAGAGCTGTTCCCAGTTTTGATCAGTCTCTCTGATACTTGAAGCAAGGATTTCACCTGCAGTCAACCCACATATCAGCATTACTATTTGTAGCAGTTGTCAATTCAGTTTTGCATCCCATATCATACATCTTTATAGCAAAACTCAGACATAATAGTGAAAATATGAGAAAAAAATATTGCACTTACTATGCATTCAGCAGAAGAGAAGTATTTCCAAAATTTATGAGAACATTAATGTTTGTGTTGTAACTGGAACAACATTTCCAGTAACAAGAATACAGAATGATCATGAAACTGATATAAATACAAGGAATTTTGATCAAAAGTAGGAATATAAAAGGAAGAAAGGAAAGTACTCACAGTCTTTCAGGTGTATTAAGTAACTACATGGAGAAGAGTGTTTTTCATATTTGCAGTCTGTTTAATGATGCTGTCAGTGACTCACATTATGCACCATCATATGACTGAATGAGAGAGAATAATATTTTTGAAAGGATATGAATAGCAATAGCCTAATTTAAGATATGATTTATGATTCTGTATTTCAGCATCCCGTTGCAATTGTTCAACTTAACATCCATTATTTATCGTCCGTCAATATTTCAACACTCTTCCATTCACCACTGAATTTTTAGTTTAACATTATACACCTTGACACTACATACACCAAAATAATGTGGGTATAATAGAAACTTTAAAGGATTTTATCTGGTTTTACGTTGAAAAGAGGACTACAGCGTGTGATTTGAACATGAACTAAGACAGTGTAGCAGTTTTAACACAATTTAATAAAATAATTGTAAAAGACACCTGAAGATGGCCGTTTGGGTCTGAAAAAATGTGGTGTCAAGGTGTATAATGTTAAACTAAAAATTGAGTGGTGAATGGAAGAGTGTTGCAATACTGACAGACGATAAATAACGGACGTTAAGTTAAGATACTATACAGAATTTGCCTGGAGACTAAGGAAACCCACAAAAACCTTAGCCTGGGTAGGCAATGTCCCAACCAATATCTGAATTGGGAATCTCCAAAATACGAGGCACAAATGTTCCCAGTTGAACCAACTTTCTACGTGAGTCCTTGAGAAGCTGCCCATTCAGTCAATTCTCCACCTTTATTGGAACCTTGATTCATTTCCATATCCACAAAAGCCTAACACTGTTCCCTGTTCTGAACTTCATATATCCAGTTTACATCATCACATCCTTTTATCTACACCTAGGTCTTCTGGGTGGTCTCTTCCTGTCAGATTCCAAATTAAAATTTAATGTTCTTCTCAACACTTCAATGCATATTATGCGACCCATCTATCTCACCCTCTTTGACTTAAACATGAAATCAATATAAACTGAAGTTTACAAATTATAATATACACCTTTACGCAATTTCTCCAGTTTCCTCTTATTTCCGTGTATGTCACAACACTGTTCTCAAACACCTTCACTCTACGTTCTTACTTTAGCAAGAAAGGCCTGATTTCACATTCATATAAGACAAAAAGGAAAATTATATTTCAATCTTTACATTATATACTGTAGCAGCCCTACAATAATTATTCAGTGCTAAACAAATTATGGTAACCGGCATTCTACCACATTATTTTTAATAACTACAGGCATGGGATAATAAAGGTGTACATCCACATACAGTCAACTCCCAACTATCCAGGGGCGGATTAACCAGTTTGCGGCTTAACCAGGGCTACTGAGGCTTTTTTGAGGCTTATATGTTGTTTAATATTCATTCACTTTTGTTTCACATGGTGAGTTGTAACACTATTTTCGCACTAGTGTGAACCGAGCTCTGCATTCTCTTGGCCCGTTATGCTAACACAATGTTCTAGGGTAGGGGCGAAAGAATGCAAGGATTTGTGGAAAGTTTCAAGGACAGATACATCGCCCCAATTAGCCTCTTTGTATTGATCTTTAAGTGCGTTCGCAAAATGTCATGGTGTAAAAGGAAGCGTGTTGTGTTAAGTATTCAATAGTAACTCGTGTGAGCCGGGCTTCGAAATGTTAAGCAGTGACGAAATCATAAGTTAGGTGGGGGTGCAGCCAGAAGAGTGGGAAGAAAGTGAGAATGATGAAGAGGTGGACAGTGCTGCTAGTAAGAAAATATCACATGGTGCTGCTCTTAATCATTTGGAATCCTTACTAGACTATTTTGAGAGTGAAGAGAACAGTTTATTAAGTGACAAGCTAATATTACGCAGGTTTCATGCAGATATCCTTAAAGAGGAAAATGCCGCGAAAAAGCAAACGACAATATTAATTTTTTTAAGTGTTAAGTGTGAATATTCGTAAAAAGTGTTGGATGTTGTTGAACACTGTGATTGAAATTACTAATTCACACTTCAGTATAATGTAAAAAAAAGTATTAAATAGGCCATGAGATGACATAAAAATATGAGGTTGAGTAAATTTAAATACAGGTAGGCCTATAGTATTATGAAGGTACAGTATTACTGTACTACTTTTAATAACATTCGCCTTAACCGGGTTTCTGATTAATCGTGATTTCCATCACCACCATTATCCCAGATAATTGAGAGTTGACTGTATTATGAAAACAAAGAGGATGTAGTTGCACACAACATGGCACATGAGAAAAATGGAAGTTCTGTGAGCTTCTTGTTTCTCTTTCAATGGTGCTCACTCAACTTCAGAGGTAAAACAAAATTTAAGAAACAAGGAAACAATCAGCATTGTAATACATATTTCAGAAGACTCAAGTATGTTATAATTACATGCTATGGGTGCAATACATCAACATAAACAAATCACAAAATGCTTAGATCTGTAGCATACTCAGAGTAATCACTATCCATGCAAAATCATTCTCCAATTATCGAGGCAGACAACTGATCATGGAACATTAATTGTTTTTGTTCATGTAGCATAATGATGTTATGACAGCCTTCTTGATTACATCTGCAGATTAAAGCCAGCATCTCTAAGTCACTCCTTCCCTCATATGAATAAAATCTAATCATATAAAAATATGGCCTGTGAATAAGAGCACCACCCAACCCCAGGCTTGGGAAGCTTTAGATATCAGAATAGTATTAAAATGCTGACAATAACGTATTGTTTACAGCTGATCGTTTAAAATGCAAGATATTTAACACCTTATCCTTTAAAAGTACATGTAATATGTGCCATTACATGTTGTACAAGGTGGCACAGAATGATCAAACACAAGTCCTCACTGGTAAACAATATTTGCGTGGTCTGACAATAAAGTTCGCGAACTCATTGTGGTAAAAGCGTTACATATCTCATTGCTGAATATTACCATGGTCACCTTCAAAGTACTCCCCTTGGCAAGCTATGAACTGATGCAAGTGCCTAGTCCACCCTTCAAAACAATTTCTGAACTGGTTCTGTGGAATGGCCTTCAGAGCTGCCATCTTATTACTCATGATGTCATCAATGTCAACAAAATGTCTTCATTTCAATATTTCCTTTATTTTCAGGAACAGAAGAAAGTCACTGGGGGCAAGATCTGGTGAACAAGGAGGGTGTTCCAGCATAGTTATTTGTCTGCTAGCTAAAAACTCCCTCACAAGACAGCGCCGTGTGGGCAGGTGCATTGTCATGATGCAAGATCCACAAGTTGTTGGCAAAAAATGTCGGTCGTTTCCATGTCACTTTTTCATGCAGCCGTTTTTAAGTACTTCCAAATAGTAAACTTGGTTATTGATCATCCAGTTGGTATACACTCATAATGAACAATTCCTATGATATACAAAAAAAAAATTAGCAACATTGTTTTGACTCTTGATTTGGACTGACAGAATATTTTTGGTTGTGGAGAACTGGCAGTCTTCCTCTGTGCACTTGCCGCTTCATTTCAGGGTCATATTGGAAGACCCATGTTTCATCACTTGTGATGACATGGCCCAAAATGTCATCTTATCTCTCCAAAAGGCATTGCAAATTTTCACATTATTGCAATGGCACACCAAACCATACTCAGACAATAATAGAAAGAGACTGCCATGGATTAACAACAACACAGCTGTAAAATGGTGATATGCCAAAGTCATCAAACCATACTGAGGTTTCTGTCCACTGTTGCCACAGCAAGCACACGGTAATGAATTCGCCAAGTTTATTATCATACCTCATACACAGCACCTTGATGGTACTGTGTAATCTTTTTTCATGGTATGTTATTTATGACCTCAGTTATGGGTCAAACTGAATGCATCCATGCATTTTCCGACTTAAAAACGTGAAAAATACATCCTCATCCCTGTCCACATATCAAAAATCAGTACTGGAGAACAACACATGTAAAATTCAATTTGCACAGATTTTCTACTTTCCACACACTGCTAAGATTGCCACTTCTGCTGCAAGAGCCAAATACAAAATGCTGTGTCCACTCATACACAGTCCACACAAGCTGCAGTTATTAATTAGCATATGATTGTGGGACACATCTGCTGCATCTTGCTGCCTGGCACTAATGGCATTCAGACACTACCACAGAGTACAACAGGATGTAGGTCCCTAGCACTTCCATGCATTATGCATTTTTTAACAAAACTTCCCCACAATCATCTGCTATCAACTCGCTTGCACTTCTTCACAATTCGTAACTTAGCACCACGTGAAGATACATAGCCAACACAATGCCCATCTACTGGGTACAACAGATAATAATGCCACACCTAAGAGGACTTGACTTCAGCAAACAATTTCATGCTGGTACCGCTCTACAGGAAACATCTAATGACTCCACAGTAATCGGTAGCAAAGAATGTGAAAGGAATTGGAATTGATTACAATCTTTTTATTACTACTGACAAACATTTTGTCTATTTGTCATATCATCTTTTCTTATAGCCTGACTCAGAGGTAACAGCTCTTGAAATAACTACACACAGTGCAACAGCAATATTAAACATAAAGTAAAAAACACATAATTTCGTTGCTTATTTATTTTCCTTTATAAAACAACTTACAAGCAGATTCACTTAAAATCAGTTATATTAAGTTTACTTCTAAGGGGATCAAAAAATTTTACTTGCTAAAATATACTTACACTACTGAGAGACAGAGCTGCATTTGGTGGGGTACTTCCACTGCTCCGTCTCTGACGTGACAGTCTTTCAGAAGGCAGATGTCTGTCTGGGAATGATGTGTATTTTAGTTTGAGCTCTGCAATGAATTCAGTTATGGAATAGATAGTGCAAGGACATCAAAGCAATTTTCTACTTCTGTGAAATGAAAAGTCAATTTTGAATTTCTAAATTAATTACACAAAATATATTCAACAATTATGAGATCCATGTCTATGTATACCTCAACTGGCAGAACGCAGTACAGAAAGACAGCACGTATACTTACTTTTCAGCGTGCCTGTTGCCTATCTATTGTGCAGTGTGGTTTTCATTTAGTGTGTTGCAGGAGCAGAAGCTTGCTGCTGGCAACCAGCCAGCATGGGCACTCCTGGCATCAGAAACCATGGGGACCCCTGACCATATATTTATTGATTTCTTGGACCACCATGTTTATTTTATTATCATTACTGAACCTCTACTTCAATGAGAAGGAGGGGTTAGTCTTTCTAAGTATATGTATTCCACTTACTTTAGCATCATCAACCTGGGGACTACTTCATTCACACAGTGACTAAGGAGAGGCATATATGTAGTGTGTTCAAAAAGTATCAAACCTTTGGTCGGCAGAGATACATTTATTGATTTGGGGGTACAAAACCCTAATCCCCTTCAAAGTAGTCTCCTTGGTAATGCACACACTTCTCTCAGCGCTTCCGCCATTGTTGGAAACACTTCTGGAACGTGTCTTTTGGAATGGTGATCAACCAGGCCGTCACATTCCGCATGATGTCTTCTCTTGACTCAAATCGGGTTCCTTTCAGCGGCATTTTCAGCTTGGGAAATAGCCAAAAGTCACACGGAGCCATGTAGGGGGAGTAGGGAGCCTGACGAACCACAGGAATGTTGTGTTTGCTGAAGAAAGTCTGAATCAGATGCGCAGATTTGGTACAAATTTCGCGGACACTCTCATCATGCTCAAATCCTCGGTCAAAATTGAATGTACCGATCCAATGCTTACTCCTATCTCGTTCGCAATTTCTCGGACTGTGATACAATGGTCCTCCATAACCAAAGTCCACACTTGCTCAATGACATTCTCATTTCGGCTTGTTGAGGGTCTGCCTGAATGCAGTTTGCTGTCCACTGATGTGCGGCCATCTTTGAAGCAGTTGTACCACTCCTTTATCCGCAAGTTGCTCATGGCATCATCCATGAAAGCCTGTTGAATCTTGCGAATGGTTTCCACTTGGGTATTGCCAAGCTTCTGGCAAAATTTGATGCAATATCGCTGCTCATGTTGTTCCGTCATTTTACACTTTACTGGAATCCGACGAGCGCTCACTGCACGTCCTCACTCATAGGCCGACTGCCAGCGACTGACGCCTTCTGCGGGCGGGAAAAAATTCATGACTGCGCATGAATGTCCCCTCCACATCTCCACCGAAGGGAGCCTCCCACGCTTCATTGGTTTACTCTTATATACAAATTGTCACTATAACCTAATATACGAGGTCTGAAAATAAAGTTTGCAAACTCGCCACCGTGCGCTTGCCATGGCAGCAGTGAACAGAAACCTCATTATGGTTTGATGACGTAGGCATATCAGCATTTCACAGCTGTCTTGTATATCTATGACAGTCTTTTTCTGAGTGGCATCTATTATTGTCCAAGTGTGTTTTCGTGTGCCATCACGAGAATGTTGGAGCTTGAATTAGGGCAATGAAAGAACATTAAATTCCTTGTTAAACTTGCCAAGAGTGGAAGCGAAATTGAGAGATGTTGGTGCAAGTGTACTGATATAATGCTATGAAGAAAACAGCAGTTTACATGAGGGTGACACGTCTTTCTGATGGAAGAGGAAGTGTCTCTGACAAAGAGAGATTAGGACAGCCAGCAACAAGCAGAACTGAAGAAAATATTGCAAAAGTTTGTCAAATTGTGTGTGAAAATTGTCGGCTGACTGTTAGAAGCACAGCAGAGCAAGCACACATCAACAGAGAAACAGAAAAATCTTAACTGAAGATAAATGACATGAAGAATGAGTGTGCAAAAATGATCCCAAAGAAGATCACCAAAGAATACTGTCTGTGAGGGAGATATTAGCCAGTAAACAAATAACTGTGCTGGATCACCCTCCCTATTCACTGGATCTAGCCCCCATGACTTTTTTTCTGTTCCCAAAGATAAAGGACATATTGAAAGGAAGGCATTTTGATGACATTGATGACGTCAGGAGTAATATGACAGCAGCTCTGAAGGCCATTCCACAAAACAAGTTCCAAATTCTTTGAAGGGTGGACAAGGTGTTGGCATCGGTGCATAGCTTCCCAAGGGGAGTACTCTGAAGGTGATCACAGTGATATTCAGCAATCAGGTATGTAGCAGTCTTACTGCGATGAGTTCATAAACTTTATTTTCAGATCACATATGTCGAGAAATTAATGTTTTTCTAGGTTTCAATATCACATGTTTTGTATTTTATATCCATTTGTAACCTGCTTACTAACTTTACCTCATACAAAAACATCAATCGCAGTACAACAGAAGGCCCAGCACTTCCCACAAACTTAAATGCACCTGATAATAGCCAAAAACGTCGAAACAAGTAGTGCAGTGACAAATTTTAAGAAAAACTTAATTTTAAATATTGACATTGCTGCACAGTGGACAGTAGACAAAATCAAAAATAAAATCTAGTTTACCACTAAGAGCAGACATTGAGTTCTTTCAGACATAACTTATCCAACTGTAACAACAGATGGTTGGGTAATTTAGCCCTCAGAAAATCAATATGAACAAATACTTTAAGTTTCATAGATGGCTGTTATTATGACACTACCACCATTCGTTCCATATGCTTCTGATATACAAGATCCAGGTAAGATGTAATAGTTTTTATTAACATATTTCGGGACATTTGGATTGCACTACATAGAAAAACACAGAAACTGTAACTGATGCTAGTAAGTGGTGAGTCTAGGAGTAAACACAGAGAAAACTAAGTATGTTGCTGTCTTGTCACCAGAAAAGCAGGGAAAATCATGACATAAAGACAGTTAACAGATGTTTTAAAGTGTGTCACAGTTCAAATGCTTGGGAACGACAGTAACAAATCAAAATTTGATTCATGAGGAAATTAAAGAGCATACTGAATTTAAGTAATGCTTGCTACCATTCAGTGCCGAACCTTCTGTCTCCTTGTCTACTGTTAAAAATGCATAAATTAGAATATAGAAAACTGGAATTTTGCCTGTGGTTCTGTATGGATGTGAAACTTGGTCTGACATTAAGGGAGGAACATAGACTGAGGGTGTTTAAGAACAGGGTGTTGAGTTTGGAGAAAACTGCATAATGAGGAGCTTCATAACTTGTACTCTTCTCCAAGTATAATTAGAATGATCAAGTCAAGGAGGATGAGGTGGGCAGGTCATGTAGCTCGAATGGGGGAGACGAGGAATGCGTATAGGATATTGGTGGGAAAGCCAGAAGGAAAGAGACCACAGGGAAAACCAAGGCGTAGGTGGGTGGATAATATTAGAATGGATCTTAGAGAGACAGAATGCTTGTGAACACGGTGATGAACCTTCAGGTTCCATAAAACGCTGGGAAATTCTTGAGTAGCTGCAGAATTTTCAGCTCCTCCAAAAGGGTTCAGCTCCATGAGTAAGTAAGATAGGTGAAATTATAAATGGCGAGCTTATTTTTAAAATAATGGGTGATATCTCATCATATCCACATGAGTTTTTTAATATAAGAGATTTTATTATATTATTTTATATTATTGTTGGTTTGTCTTTTTATTTTATCAGCAACATTGGCAAAATATTTATTAAACTCTCCTACCATATCTTGTTGATTATTTAGTATCTCACCACCAATTTTTACTGTATTTATTTCTATCCTACTTGTATTCCTAACTATTTCTTTCTTTATAATACTCCAAGTAGTTTTTATTTTATTGTGGAAGTGTAGGATACATTTACCATATTCCATTTTTTTTTGGCTTTTTTATAACAGCACTCAGTATTTTAGAACAGTTTCTGTAATACACTCTGAAAATATGATTCTTATTATTCCTCAATTCATTGTAGATTTTGCGTTTAAGTTTACAAGATTTCATTATTCCTGGTGTGATCCATGAATTTTTTAACACATTATTTTTCTGAATTAAAGGGAAACTGGAATAATAAGTTCTCAAAAATATATTTAAAAATAAACTGAAAGTCTTGTTAATGTGATTTTCATCTCAGAGGCTGATTCCCATGTTTCTTGGCTTAAATGTAATAAAAAATTTGCTATGGTTTCATTATTTATCATCCATTTCGTGTAAGTATATTGTTGTTGTCCCTGATTCTGTGCTTTATGTAGTATGAACACCTGGGCATCATGATCTGATAGTCCATTTATAAATCATATTTACCAGTTCTTGCTGTATCAATAAAAAATTATCAATTATAGTACGTGTGGACAGGCCCACTCTAGTGGTGTGACGTCGGCTCATGTCCGTGATCTGTGTGCGCACTTCTCCCCTCTACTGTCCCCCCTCTCCTTCCCCTCCTGAGCCGACTTAGCAGCCTAACGAGTGGAGCTAAGGGCTCTTGGCTTCCCAACCGTTGAAGGGGTAGGTTGTTCTCATTTCGGACCACCGGTCGAGGTCATCCTCGACCGTCCAAATTGATTTCTCTATGTGGTATTCTATCTTAGAACAGCGAACTCTGCAATCATTCTGATACAGGTATTTACATCATGTTTGTATTCTTTCTTTATTAATACATTACATTTACTCTTTGTTAATATTTGGTTTGGCTATTTCTGTTTGGGTATTTCCGCCTTGCTGATTTCTTTGTCCTCCCCTGCTCGCCCTGTCCTGTGATCACGAGAACCTATACGCACCCTGAAAGATCCTCTGAAGGGTACCTACGCTTCAGTGGGAAATGTTACAATACTACTAAGATTATAAGAATACAAAATAGCATCTAATTGCATTTTTCTTTTATCATCATCATTTAAGTAATTTACATTTATATCACCCCACATAATTATATCATAACTCTGATGGTATAGTTTATGTAAAATCATATCTAGTTTCTCCAAAAAATTTATAAAATTACCCAACAGAGACCTATAAATAGTCAATATACAGAATTGTTTCTCTCCTAGTGAATTCACAGGCAGATGAATTGCACATGCCTCAATATCTTTTTTTTATTTACTTACCATTACTGTGTTTTGTTAGATGGAGAATTTTATCTTTAAATGCTGACAGATCCTGCAGTGTTGAACCTGATACAGGGAGTTCACTGAGTATTCTAATAGACATGTCCAGGAAATCTAAGCTTGACTGCAAAGATCCTGAGTTTGCACCCAATCTATAAAGAAATAAAATTTGTAAAGAGACCACAGAACAGAACACACTAATGAGAAACTTCTGCAACAGACAGGTTAGACTAATGGCAACATGCCTGACTTGTATTCAGATTGTATCCAGTTGAAATCTTAGGGATAGCTGAGGTAATTCATATTCTTCCAAGCAAATGATGGACACCACCTTGAAATAGGTCGCTTCTTTCCCAGCACTTCCCAGTTCAACACACTTAACAATTCTTTCATTTCATAAGACACAGAGTTAACTAAAAAATGTCATTAACTTATCTCCCAAAGAATGAATGCTTTCCTTCATAATCCTAAAAGTCAGTAAAGTTTTTGTATGTGATGCAACAACATATTCATAAGACACCAGTCTTCTGGGATGTGGCACCGTGTAGATGTGGTGTTAACCGACATTTCGGAGGAACGTATGGCCTCCATCTTCAGGGTAGAAGGGAAAAATAAGAAAATCCGCAAGCAAAGGGACAGTGAGAACAGGTGCAAGCAGACTAATGTTGGAAATAAGCTCAGCTGTATGAGAGCAGGGAAGGAAAGGGACAAGTCTACATGGGAAATCAATGGAGAGGGTAAGGGGAAGGGTCTGGGACAGGAGCAAGGTTAATGGGGGGGGGGGTTGCTACNGAGGTATTCTGAAGCTGAATGCGGTGTCCCAAATTGATGCTGTGTTCAGCTACAGCTGACTTGTCCAGATGGGCCGCTGATGCTCCATCAACCTCATGTCCACAGAGCAGCCTGTCTGCCCAATATAGACCTTGCCGCACTCGCATGGGATGCTGTATACTGTATATCCCATGTGAGTGCAGCAAGGTCTATATTGGGCAGACGGGCCACTCCGTGGACATGAGGTTGAAGGAGCATCAGCAGCACATCCGTCTCGATCATTTGGACAAGTCAGCTGTAGCTGAACACAGTATCGATTTGGGACACTGCATTCAGCTTCAGAATACCACCATCCTCACCACCAAGACCCGATATATGGATCGTATCATTAGGGAAGCCAATGAGATTGAACTCCACCCCGACAATATGAACAGAGAGGGGCGGTTTTGTCTCAGCAAGTCATGGAAGCCTCTCATCTGTTCCCTAGAAACCGCCCCAGGACATGACACCAGATCCACAAGGCCACAAACACCATGACCTACTCACATAGCAAGCCCCCCAACTTAAGGGTTAATGCCCTCCCATTAACCTCGCCTTTCTCCCCCAACACAATATCCAATACCTGCTGCATCCTTGCTCCTGTCCCAGACCCTTCCCCTCTCTCTCTCCCTCCACTGATTTCCCATGTAGACTTGTCCCCTTCCTTCCCAGCTCTCATATAGCTGAGTTTATTTCCAAAATTAGTCTGTTCCGTTCTCACTGTCTCTTCGCTTGCAGATTTTCTTATTTTTCCTTTCTACCCTGAAGATTTAGGCAATACGTTCCTCCGAAATGTCGGTTAACACCATATCTACATGGTGCCACTTCCCAGAAGACTGCTTTCTTCATAGTCACTTCCGTGAAAACCTCAAATCTTACATAATATATACACAGTTATGCCTCACCCGTTCTGCTTTCTTTTGAGATCCTTCTGGATTTCACTCTCAATTATCTCAGCCCCTGCCATGTAAAGAGTCTGGCTGGGTAACTGTTTCAGAGTCTGCAGAGATGTGTGGCCTATACTCAGTGCTTCAGGATACTGCTCACTTGCAACATAATCTGCAAACTGCACACCAATTTGCCTGTTGCAAGAAAAAACCAGTGTAGTGGCATAATGACTGCGGTACAAATAGTTGAAATTCACATGGCAATATCATACCTGCTAGGGTCATTTCCCTTGGATATAGTGCTTGATACAGAAGTAAAATATGATGGGGTGGTTTCGGGAAGACACCAGGACTTCTTTGGAGTGTCATTCCCAAAATGATCATGGGTGAAGAAAGAGAGAGAGAGAGAGACAGGTATTGCACAATATTCTAATAAAGTTTGGGACACCCACGAAACTAGTTAGGTTGATTAAAACGTGTTTACACAAAATGTATAGTAAAGTCCATGTAGGTAAACAGGTGGGAATGAAATTAAATGGGACACATCAGCTGTTGGTCTATGCCAATGATGTGAATCTACTGGGTGATAATGTAGATACCATGAAGAAAAACACAAAAACTTTAATTGACACAAGTAAGAGGTTGGTATAGAAGTAAACACAGAGAAAACTAAGTATATGTTACTGTCTCGTCATTAAAATGCAGGAAAAAATCATGACATAAAGATAGGAAACAGATGTTTTGAAAATGTGGCACAGTTCTGATATTTGGGAACAACGATAACAGATCGAAACCTGAATATGGAACAAATTAAGAGGCAACTGAACTCGGGTAATGCTTGCTACCATTCAGTCCAGAACCTTTTGTCTTCTTGTCTGCTGTCCAAAAACATAAATATTAGAATATACAAAACTACAATTTTGCCTGTGGTTCTGTGTGGGTGTGAAACTTGGTCTCTGACATTAAGGGAGGAACATAGACTGAGGGTGTTTAGAGAACAGGGTATTGAGAAGAATATTTGGACCAAAGGGAGCTGAAGTAACAGGAGTTTGGAGAAAACTGCGTAATGAGGAGCTTCATAACTTGTACTCTTCTCCAAGTATAATTAGAATGATCAAGTCAAGGAGGATGAGGTGGGCAGGTCGTGTAGCACGAATGGGGGAGACGAGGAACGCGTATAGGATATTGGTGGAAAAGCCAGAAGGAAAGAGACCACAGGGAAGACCAAGGCGTAGGTGGGTGGACAATATTAAAATGGATCTTAGAGAGATAGGACGGGATAGTATGGATTGGAAAGATCTGGCTAAGGATAGGGACCAGTGGAGGGCTCTTGTGAACATGGTAATGAACCTTGGGGTTCCATAAAATGCTGGGAAATTCTTGAGTAGCTGCAGAATTGGCTGCTCCTCCAGAAGGGCTCAGCTCCATGAGTGAGCAAGTAAGTAAGTAAGTGAGAGAGAGAAAGACATCAATAGTTTCCAAATTACAATATTGCATAATTATATTAATATAATACTACTACTCTTGTATATGAATGTGGTATAGCATATAAAGCAAGATGTTTGTTTATGCTGAAAAGAAGCTTGACTGATCAGTTTTCATGGAAAAGTATTCTGATCGGTCATTCTTGGAGATTCAATTAACTAAAATTTCCGGATGGTTTTAAGTTTAATTAAAGGAAGTGAAATAATTTTAGAATTTCAGAGAGGTGGAATGGCATCCATCAGCAGCATCTTCCTCACCTCGGACATTGTCTACACATACAGATGGGTGAATGATGCAAAGAATGATGAACTGCAGAGAAAGAAGAAAAATCTCATGGAATTCTCTCTCACCATTACTTGAAATGAGCACTTGGTATTCTCTGATATTTCAGCACTTTGTAACCACAAACAGAAAATAATAAAACAAGAATAGGAAGTTTGAGTATCCATAGATTCATACAGAAAGTTGAACTTCATAAGAAGCTTGTTTTGTCATGTTCTTGATATCACCTCATAAAATTCAATTTCAGATTCCTGTTCAGTGTGGATTATGTATGCTTCATAAAGCTGAAATTTAAATTCTGCCAGCAACTGTGTCATGTAAAAACTAAACAACAAATCTTCTCAGAATTCACTGAGAAGTTTCATGATAAGAAAATGTAGATGGACAGAAACGACCTTGCCATTATGCACTCATTTTATTATACTCGTATGTGCTTCATACAAGGAAAATATGCTTAATTATTGCAGCAGGCATAAGAGATTACATATTTGTTTCATCTTTGTTGTAATTCATTACTTATAAGTTTAATTGCTCATATGTTAAATAGTCTGTTATATTTGTGTTTTTACTGTCATGAGTCTGGTACAAAGAGATTGGCTTATAAAAACATTTTCTTAAAAGCAAAAGCTCTTCTTGCATATAAAAAGTGAAACACACTGTTTGAATGATATGTATGAAAACCTGATCTATCATATACACATGCTCAGTAGATTTTATGTAAGACTAATGTTGAAACTGATAAATCATCTATAGCAATTATATTCCTATATATTAAATTTTTTTAATACATACTGAACTTCCATAAGGGTGAGGTCACTTGGCAAGGTTACAATGACTTTTTCACCAGTTACTATGGTACAAAGTTCGTGAACATCACATACTGTGATCACAGGAAAAATTACAGTCTCCAGACCTGTAACTGAAGCATTCACAAAAAAAAATTATGTTCAGAAACAGATGAACAATTTAAAATAAAATTCCCATGCACAAATTCATTTTGAAAAAACATATTCAATTATCACTGCATTCTCTCATATAAGTTCAAAATTTTTAGAAATCTTTTGGCACGCCATGCCAAAAATGTCAATCTATAATGTGGTGATGATGGCAAGGATTTCATTAGAAAGTTTCTCTTTCCATACAAGTGTTACAGAACACAATTAAAATGGAATTCAATGAACGTGTATCACATTTTTAGAACTCTTTAATTCTTTTAGTGAAATGTACTTCCAAAGTAATTTAGTTTTGGTCATGCATATTCTGTAATCTGTATCACCTATATTTCATTAAATCATAGAAGTACTGGCTGTATTTTCCACCACAAGCCAAAATTAATTTGAACCAACCACATGGATCAACTGCTTATGGAACATGGTTTCCATGGATACGAAAAAAGAAAGTTGTAAACAGTTAGAAAGCAGACAATTGCTTCGGAATTATCACAAGGTTTCTGAGACAACACATTCATGAAGAGCAGTAAGGGAGCCCTTGGAGGCGGACATCTTTATTCAGATCTCTCGCACTTATAAAGGGGAGTTCATTTGTGAATTCAAGAGATTCGTTCGTAAGAGGGTTCAAAAGGCAGATCAGTGGTTGAGGATTCAGCTGTGAAGTGTTATCCAGATAAGATTCATTACCGAGCAAGAACTAGAAAAGGGACACTGATATATTGGGTTTTTGGACTTTATCCATCGTCCTGGTTTTTAAGATAACTAAAAAACACGACGTTTCGGAAACTGGATCTGTTTCCGCCCTCAGGTCCTCCATCCTTCACCTGAGGACGGAAACAGATCCAGTTTCCGAAACGTTGTGTTTTTATTAGTTATCTTAAAAACCAGGACGATGGATAAAGTCCAAAAACCCTATATATCAGTGTGTTATACATCATCGTCAGACTCCTATAGTAACTACTAGCAAAGAGACATTGAAGACTTTATTTTGTGTGCTACAGTTAGAGTAATCTTCAGAATGTTATAATTATTTCTAATTACAACCTATGAGTGTCAAATCTCTTCATCTAATACTGAATGCATTATTATTAGTTATGCTAGCCCTGAATACATGATAACACCAAAATTAATCTGAACTAACTTCATGGCCATATATATGATCACATTACATGTGACCTGTATCAACTGAATTTTAACCAAATTGTGGGAAATATTAAGTGTATCTTATACAGCAAATCAAAATTAAACTGTACTACTCAAACAAAAATGTAATATAAGATAGCTTACCAGAAGGTAGAATGGTGGCAGCTTGTAAGTCCACATTTGATGTGCTGAAGACATTGACCTTCTCCTGATCACTGATCTGGTACCCATATTTATACAGAAGAGGATAGTCAGCAGAACTGTCATCTGCTAAGTCAGTGCTGAACAAAAACACTGACCTTAGAGCCTCACCTTCTGAAGGAATCACCTGTGCACCAGAAATATTAACAATTATGACACAAGATCTTTCTTGGTTATTCAGCTAGTCAAGAAACGCCATGCTCTTATGGGACCAAGGAGTTCATGACTGTCATTGTAAAACCCTATATATCACATCGTCTACACCTATTCTGCTTAAATTTCACTGTATTTCATTTAAGTGATATCTGCAACTGCACACAGCCTGAATTAAATGATAACATTTAATTAAAACTGTGTTCCGTTATATGGAAACAGATAGTTCTCCAAACTTATGGACAAAAAATACTAAAAAAGTACCTTAAAGCAAACAAAATGTACATGACAGTATGAAAACTTGTTTTCCATAATTTGCTATAGGCAAGAAATAAGAAGCACTGTTTAATTCAAGTGGCTGCTCTGTGATTCCTGTGCTTGTCCCATATGAAGATACTGCCCTCACAGATTTAACTTATTGTGGTAATTCCTAAAGCATGCAGAAGTACACAAGCTGCCATCATATTTTTCATACTGATGTGTATGCTCATCTTTGATGTGGATGGGGCACAGTACTGCAAATACTTTCCTCCACATGACCAATGCTTGACGCTGCTGGCTTCCAGGAAGATTATTTTTTCATAGCATCACAGCTCATGAAGTTTGTGTTTGCCATTCTGCAGCACAGTTATGAAACACATATACACATTGCAGTCCTCAACACTCAACACTCAACACTCAACATCCCAGTAAGCACTGGGCTTTTATATATGAAGACATAATTTCTCCAGCAACAGAGAGAAAACAAATTAACACCAGTAGTCCATTTCATTAAACTGCAGATACAAGTCTATTGTTTCAGAAGTATTAAGACTATACAGTGTCACAAATGACTCTTCCTTTCACTGAAATGAAAAATATTTCCAACAGATGTTGTAGATCTTAATGTCTGTATTTAACACCACGTATAAATATTTTACACAATGCACAATAAAAAAAACAATAAATTAAATTTGGGCTTCATGTAGAGTACGAGTTACGGCATTTCACCAGCATGAACATGAATGAACTGTTTTCAGTAGATTTTAATGGAGATCACCCCCCCCCCAACCAAATTTCATTAAATGCCAATGAGTGCTTCTTGGAATAAAACATTCACAGAGAGACAAAAAATGACACCCAATTAAATGTTCATTTTATGCAGTCTGTGTAAAGAATGCATAAAAATAAACACAAATAATAGCAAAATTAACAATTCACACACACACAAATAGTGCAGAGCACACTATGGTCTGGAGATCAGATATAAGGCTCATAGCACCAACTAGAATAACGAATGTACATCTTTAATTCTCACCTTGAGGGGTTTCACAGTGGGGGGAGAATTTGTGGTAATAAGGAAATCTGTATAGCTTTTAACTGGTTCAGTGGGGCAGACCACACTTAGCCGCAGTTTGTACTCAGCATTGTCCTTCAGCCCAGGCCAGGTACCTGTTGGACCAGGTATAACTAGAGGAAATTCTCTGCAAAGAAACATAACTGATGATAGTCAAAAACATATAGTGTGATTGCTATAATAAACAGATTAACTTATTGTTCTATTTGAATTCAATCATTTATTGTACACTAATCAAACCCATATTTGTTGTGTAACAGTATAAAAATCATAGAAACAACAGATGATGAAATTCTACTCAAAACCATCACTAGTATCATGTGTTTTATTGTAATCCACATGTTTCAACCCTGATATTGGATCGTCTTCAAGTGGTACAATATTTCAAGCATTAATTAATGATTTTTAATCCCATAAGCCTGACTGAACATGGGTCCCTTGTTCGTGCAGTTGACATGGAGTGGATTAAAAAAAAAAAATGCAATACTCAATAGTTGTTTTGATGGCCCCGAACAGATTTTCAACATTTATGAACACAATTTGATGTAAAAATCAAAGATAGCAGACAATGTGTTTGAAGAAAAGAATCATAATTAAGCAGTGGAAAGTGCAATATGACCTCTGTGATCTGGAAACACAACAGGAAGGAGGAACTTGTATTGCTAATTCAAACATCAGGCAACCTGATGTTACTCACACTTAAAACTTTTCACCTTTTCAGAGGTGAGGGAAGCAAAGGGAAAATAGAGAAATATGTGCTGAATCCAGCTGGTCTCAAATCCAAGACCTGTGTCACAGAAGTTCAGCACCCTAGACATGCTCCCATGCTCCCTGCACTTCAGATAAAATAAATTAGATCCTTCTCTTTATCTTAATTACAGACTCACAAAAATGATATGATTTTAACAGCATATGGCTGTTGTGAAATACACTTCAGAATGTTGAGTTGGACTGTTTTAATCTAAGCCACCTATAAAAAGTTTCATGAAATAACTGGAACATTCCTGGAATACTGAGTTAAAAAGATTGTATCAGGGTGTTACCCTTGAATAATGTTGCACTTGTTTACTACCACAAATGAAGACAATTTCTTCCTAGTTTGAGTGGGGGTTGTTTGGTTTCCATTATTATATCACTACATCTGAATCAGATATTGGTCTGATTCTGCAAAGTCAAGTTACCGTGCAAATTAACTGTGAAGAATGTTTACAACTATTTCAAGCAGTGATGGAATAATATCTCTCATATCTTGCATGGCTCAATGTTTTCGCTTCAGACAAATGACAAATACATCTAAGGTTTGGATGTGTCGGCGCCGCCCTCCGCCGGCGCCACCGCCACCACCGCCACCACCACCACTGCACTACATTGCACTACATTGTATTATATTATATTTTTAAAAACAAGTGTTGATCTACATTCTTTTGTCTTTTATTGTTCCTTGCATCCTGTTGTGTACTAGACGAATGTTAAAGTTAATCTACCGACCACACAACACGTTTTTTATTATTTACTGCCACACTACATGTTTCGACCTCAGGAGGTCATCATCAGGTGTACGAACACAATTTCACAATCACACGCAATCACTTCCTTTTTCCACTAATTTCCATCCTGTATCCTATTCAGATTCACGCTCAAATAATATGTATAAGTTCTTCTTATACTATATAAGTTAAAAATATATAAGTTAAAAAGCTCTTCNTAGCCATCACGACAAGGAACGTAACAGATCCCACATCAGAGGACGCCGAAGAACGACAAGACCTTCAAAAAGTGAAAGGGCAGTCAATGTGATGAGTGAAGTTTATTTTTCACGAACTTTCTAAACAAGTGATAATAACGTAACTGGCTACAGGGAACTGAATTTTGAATTTTAAATCTTAATTTTTGACATTGGTATTTTTAACTTGTATTTTACAAGAAGAGCTTTTTAACTTATATATTTTTAACTTGTATAGTATAAGAAGAACTTATACATATTATTTGAGCGTGAATCTGAATAGGATACAGGATGGAAATTAGTGGAAAAAGGAAGTGATTGCGTGTGATTGTGAAATTGTGTTCGTACACCTGATGATGACCTCCTGAGGTTGAAACATGTAGTGTGGCAGTAAATAATAAAAAACGTGTTGTGTGGTCGGTAGATTAACTTTAACATTCTTTTGTCTTCATCTCCAAGCATTCAAGCATCAAACATCAGTGGAAAGTAAGAATAGTTTTAAATGTTCAATCAACCATCAATTTAGTGCCATCTGATTTTCCACCACCTCATTTGAAGTAAATAGGGGACGCGATATATCAAAATATTCTTTGCTGCTGTCAAATGTTGAATAGCATTTCTTCCCACAAACTTCTATGGGAGCTAATAAGTGTGGTTTTTATTTTCAAAAGATTAATTACGTACACAGATGAACAAGGCTTCTGATTTCCTCACAGTCAATATAAATTTTAAAAGTAAAGTTTTTCAAGGAACCTCATCATATTTTGAATTCATTTCTGGTTCTTCACTAATAAATATTTAATTTACTAAATTAGAATGGACATAAACAGTTTAGTTGTAGAATATAACAAGGATCTTCAAGCTTCAGAATTGTTTAGAGACAGAGAGCGCCAAGCATTAAACACAAAATTTATTGCCTCACATACAGTCAGGAACAACTCTTGGTCTTTGCCAGATGATACATTAAACACCTACTGGAGTGCTATGCAAACACAGAAATAGCATTAAGCATCATATTGTCACTTATCCTGGTAGTGTGACAAGTAAGTAGCGGGTTCTCTGGATTGATGTATCGATTTATTTGGTGTCAGTATTACAATCACGCTTGGTTATAATAGTCCACATGCTCAACTCCTTCCGGATAACAATCCCTCTCTGCGTAGCTTAATTCTCCAAAGCATGTTTATTCACTGCCAAGTCACTTCGCCTTCTTCCGCCTTCTGGTCTCTCCTGGTATCACAACTAAACCACAGGAACTATAAGTCATGCTCCAGATCAGAGCGCTACAGCACAAATAAAGTCTTCAAACCACACGTTAAATCTTCTATGAACTTCCCATGGCTATCTTCCACCTAGAAGTCAGAACTCCGTCACTGTCAATATCATTGAACTGTAGCACTGTTGGTTTTTAAGATAACTCCTTTGCAGAGACCCCACAGAAAACAACATCTCCCATCATTGTGGATGCATGTTTAACAACTGTCTTGCCTGGCAACACCAGTTGTTGTGTGTATCCTGGTAACATGACAGTTAATAATGGGTTTTGAATTTGGTAACTCAATTCATTGGATAATTTCTCACGTTGTAACTATACTACACTTTCATGATTGCCATGTCTATGACACACAAACAATTAAAACACTTTCAAGGTTAACACATCAACTACTGAACTGCCTTGAATGACATCTTCCTCACGAAACCTCGTGTCCTCCAACTTACGACTGCTGAACTGAACTGAACTGAACTGTTCCTATATAGGATTGGCATGGACCATGCATAGAAAACAGTTTCCCTTCTACTGTTGCCTCTATTCATGCATACAGAGCTGTTGCCTGGCAACGTGTTGATCAAATCTGTTAACAATATTCTTTATCTGTTTTTACTGGTGCATTATATGGAGCTAATCTAAATACGAGGTCTGACAATAAAGTTTGCGAACTCGCCACAGTGTCCTTGCCGTGGCAGAAGTGAACAGAAACCTCATTATGGTTTGATGACGGTGCTATATCAGAGTTTCAAAGCTCTGTTGTTGTTGATCTATGACAGTCTCTTTCTGAGTGGCGCGTTTATTATTGTCTGAGTAATTTGGCGTGCTGTTGTGAGAAGGTTGGAGCTTGAATTAGAGCAACAAACAAACATTAAACTTCTTGTTAAACTTGGCAAGAGTGGAAGCAAAATGGAGAGGTGTTAAAGCAAGTGTACACGGATAATGCTATGAAGAAAACAACAGCTTACATGTGGGTGACACGTTTTTCTGAAGGAAGAGAAAGTGTCACGGATGAAGAGAGATCAGAACAGCTAGCAATAAGCAGAACTGAAGAAAACATTGCAAAAGTTTGTCAAATTGTGTGTGAAAATTGTGAGAAGCACAGCAGAGCAAGCAAACATCAAGAGAGAAACAGGAAAGTCTTAACCAAAGATAACAACCTGAGGAATGGGTGTGCAAAATGATCCCAAAGGAGCTCACCAAAGAATACTGACTGTGAGGGAGATATTGGCTAGTAAATAAATGTGTTGGAACACCCTCCCTGTTCACCAGATCTACCCCTCAATGCCTTTCTTTTTCTATTCCCGAAGATAAAGGAAATACTGAAGAAAAGGCATTTTGATGACATGGATGACATCAAGAGTAACATGAAAGCAGCTCTGAAGGCCATTCCACAAAACAAGTTCCAAAATTGTTCTGAAGTGCAGACTAGGCACTGGCATCAGTGCATAGATTCTCAAGGGGAGTACTTTGAAGGCAACCACAGTGATATTCGGCAATGAGGTATGTATCATTTCCACCATCACTAGTTCGCGAACTTTACTGTCAGATCACATATACTTTCCATTCATTATGATATTAAAACCTCTTTAATTCTGATAATGTAATCAGTGACTTTATAGCCATTAAAGCAAAAAACATATTTAAATCACTATTAGATTTGCAATTATGCTTGTATACAAGAACTGTGACTGGGTTATTGCTGCACTTTTAAATCTGGGGGGAGGGGGCATGAATTTTCAAACTTTACCTAGGGCATACAAATGTCTTGTCCCAGTTCTGTTAATGACATAATTCCTGTCTCTGGTATTCCTCTTTATCATTTTCCTTTTAGTTTCAAGTTCAGGATCATCTTTGAGATTTTACCTCCATTCACTCTTAAAACATGCCCATGCCAATTTACTCCCTTACTTATTAATTTCTCTTCCAATGTATTTAAAATCTCTCTAATAATTTCATTTCTCTTTCTCTCCTTCTACCTTTTTCTTCCCTGTACAGCTTCTGATATTCTATTAATATATTGTGACATGTTGCGCAACGAAGAACCCCTACCTCCCCAGCGGCACGTGGCGGTAACGTAGCGCTCGCGTAGTAGGCGAGTCATCACCGCGCCACTCTCCCCGCGGTGAAGTCACGAGCGGAGCCGAAGTGAGCCAAGCGGAGCCGAAGTTAGCCGAGTCCCCGCAACCTGGTAGCTATGCAACGCGAGTCAACAGCGGTGACGTAACAGGATGACGTGGCACTCATTACGCAACAGGCAAGCACTGCGGCTATATAAGTGAGCTGCACAGCGGCTGCGAGTTAGTTGTAACGTGGCCATCGCCGAAGACAGTTCCGAGTTATAACGTGGACATGGCCGAAGACAGTTCGGAGTTAGTCCTCAAGCTACCTCCGAGAGTTGTAATGTAACAGTCGCCGAGTTAGTTGTACTGTGGCCATCACCCAGCTCAGTTCCGAGCTAGTTCGAGCAAGCCTACGAGCAAGTGTGTTATAAACAGTTCTCCAGTCAGCCGACTATAGTTGGAGTACAGCAGCTGTCGCGGAAAGAAGAACCGGACGTGTGGGTGATTGTGTAATTGGGAGTGTGTGATACAGTGATACATAGCTCCCCTACCGTAAACGTGTATACTACTGAAGACAGAGTGAGCTGATTTGCACATAGGGTTATAAATCGTGAAACCCCGCAACAGTGGTAACAGATTAATGTGATTAGGGTTATAAAGTGTGAAACCCCGCAACTGTGTGATAAGTAATTGTAGCCGTTACTTGTAGATTGTTCAATAAACCAATTAACGATCTCTACGGCGTCTTCAGTAACCCAACACGTTACAATATGCTTTTGTCAAGGCGACTGCTTCTGTGGTCTAGTTGGTAAGAGTTCCTGGCTACAGATCAACAGGTATCAGGTTCGATTCCCAGCGCTACCAGATTTTCTGAGAAGTAGTCGGTCTGGAATGGGGTTCACTCAGCCTTGTGAGGATAACTGAGGAGCTACTTGAATTGAAAAGTAGCGGCTCCGGTCTAGAAAAGTGAGATTAACAGCCGTGGGGATCTGTTGCACTGACCATGCAACACCCTCTATCTGCAAAAAAAGTAGGCACTAACTTTGCCGACAAGTGGCAATCGCTCGGTCAGTATAGTTTGCTTGTGGACTACAGGCCATGGAGTTTTTTAAGTTTTTCTAGTCTACTAATATCTGTTTTGATCATACAGTTTTCGGCACTGCTACTTTTACACACATATACAGAGTGTCCCAGGAGGAATGTGCCAAACTTTGGGAGGGTGTTCCTTATGTTAAAGTATGCCGATATAACCCAAAACACCTATGTCCAAAGTTGAATGGTTACAGAGATAATGGCCCGAGAAATGTGTGGTCTTCTGGCGGGTCCACGCACTATACCTGTCAGCTGAGACGTCTTATCTATGTTTGTCCTTGAGTGTGGTGATTCACACTAGCCATAAGCTCATGTGCTACCTACAGAGTACGTTGCGGCCGCATCGTGAATGGTTGGTAAATTAGTTGTGCGGAGTTGCTGAAATGCCTTTTGTGTTTTCACATGTGGAATATTGTGATATGCATTTTGTGTGTGGAATTTGTGGTGGCAATGCACGTGCTGCTGTTGAAGAATACCGAAGGCGTTTTCCCGATAGAACAATTCCATGTCGAAGTGTATTTACACGAATTCACCAGACATTGCGTGATACTGGTTCTCTTCCGAGGGTTTCTGTGCTCTCTGAAAGGGAGGATGTACGAATGATAAACACATGAGAGAACATTCTTGAGATGGTTCAGAGAAGTCCGTGTCTGTCCACTCGTAGAATCGTCTCTCGAATTGGCGTATCACGTATTCAGGTGTGGCGAACTTTACATGATGAAGAGTTATCCTTACCATGATCAAAGGGTACATTACAAAGGGTACAAAGGGTTACGTACACTATTAACATTATAGAAACCACATATTCCTGCCAGTTTTAATATGTATTTTGTAATCAACAAGTGTATAACAGCGGTCAAAGTTTCACACTTCTCTGGCCATTATCTCTGTAACCATTCAACTTTGAACATAGGTGTTTTGGGTTATATCAGCATACTTTAACATAAGGAACACACTCCCAAAGTTTGGCACATTCCTCCTGCAACACCCTGTATATGTATATATGACAAAATTAGCAGGTGATATTCACATTTTGTTTTTAAATTCAGCTTAAAGGAAGATTCCAGACTGTGTTATTATGAAGTTCTACACAAATTAAGTAATCTAAAATATTACAAGGATTTGAGATTTTGGTGTTCTTTAAGATCCCACAGGATTGGAGCTGGTATGTTTCAGTGTGTTAAAATACAGTTGGGCAGGTCGTGTAGCACGAATGGGGGAGACGAGGAATGCGTATAGGATGTTGGTGGGAAAGAGATCACAGGGAAGACCAAGGCATAGGTGGGTGGACAATATTAGAATGGATCTTATAGAGATAGGATGGGATGGTATGGATTGGATAGATCTGCCTCAGGATAGGGACCAGTGGAGGGCTCTTGTGAACACGGTATTGAACCTTCGGGTTCCAGAAAATGCTGGGAAATTCTTGAGTAGCTGCAGAATTGGCGGCTCCTCCAGAAGGGCTCAGCTCCATGAGTAAGTAAGTAAAATACAGTTAAAGTAAAATTTCAACTCTAAAATAACAATGATTTGTCAGGAACCATAACCAGACAAATATTTTGAACAGTCAAGTACTTCTACAGTCCACTTTTCTAAAGAAAAAAAAATCTGTTTTCAAAGTTTTCAAAGACCTGTTTTCACACAAAATTTCACTGGTAGTGATTGCTGCTCCCAATTCAGAAGTTCACATGATTATCATGATAGTGTTGACAGAGAGCTAGAAAAGATAGAGGTTCAGCTTCTTCTAGTGGCATATGTCCATTCCAGTACTCAGGAAACTTGGACAAAAGGCACAATAGATCTCTATGGTCACAGTGCAAGGGCCAGGAAGGCCCACCCCTTATACAACTCAGATAACTATTGCCCATTATCTTAGCATCAAAAACAGAGTATAAGGCAGTTAGATACACAAACACACGCAAGCAGCCTGTTAATAGAATTCCAAAAGAACAAAGTTGCTTCAGAATTCCAAAAACATAAATAACGTGTTACCAACCTGCCCATTACATCCTTAGCCTCCTCCAAAGTTACATGTACTGTATCTCCAAGCCCAACTACTTCAGCCAAGTTGAAATACTCGTAACCTGGTTCCTGTTGCACAGACCACCACATATGGCAGCCTTCACGAGTATTCATTACTACTGCTGGAACTGTCACACCTTCTTTGGGATTCACCAATTTCAACTGTGCTCCAGGAGGCATACTAACAACTACTGGCATTCCTGGCACAACAACAACAGTAGCCTGTGCCTCTGATGACATGCCAGATTTGGAGACCTCCACAGTAAAAATGTACCTGCATATTTAAATAGTAATATCCATAAAATACCTCAACAACTGTGAATAATTCTGGCATATTAACAAATAAAAGTTGTACTGTGATCTGGGTTATGACACCATGCTTTGTTATTTGTGGCTTATGTAATGACACTGCCAGTAGCTCAGACTATAATAATGTTGAATCACAGGACTATTAGGGAATATGAATTGTAAAGAAAGTGGAAGAAGCAGTGAGGGCTTAATTATAGGTACTGCCCAAGCATTTTCTTGGAGGGAGTAAGGAAAGCCATTAAAAATCAGCAAAAGAGTGTTCCAGGTGAAATGCAGTCTACTTATCCACCTACCAGACTACACAGTATCACAAACCTGAAGATCACAACATGAAAGGAAAATCTCAGATCTTAAAGAAGACTTCAAATCTCTGTAACATGAAATACAGTGATCACACAATAAATCCCAGAGATAATTCGTTTTTTGGTATCATTGCTCTTGGAATGAAATGACGAGACTTGACAAGTGTTGGAAATATGAAGTTAAGCATTCAATTATTTTGTCATTCAAGACTAGACACAAATAAACAGATGTAGAGCAGACTGAGTGTCACAAATTTTCTCATTACTGAGGGAATTTCCATTGGTAAAATTCACTGACTGCTGCCTGAATTATTCAAGGAGAATCCAGGGTATCTGGATGGTTTGTATTAAGTCCAGTCTTAGCAGCCTCCGTAGTCTAGGGGTAACGTTCCCACCTCATGACTCAAGGTACGCAGGTTCAAACCCGGCAGAGGTCGTGGAATTTTTAAGGGTGGAAAAATTAGGGGAACAAGTCCTCTGGGAGGGACTTTAAGCCGTGGGTCCCGTGTCGTAGATTTACGGCATGTTAAAGATCATGTCTCTAGGAGACCTCTGAGCAAAATTAGGTAAAAAAAAAGTTTCCCACCCAAGTAGTTTCCAATGCCTCCAGTAGATGGGGGTATCGGGTACCACTGCCAGTAGAGGGGTCAAACTCGCTGGCTGAAAGGGGCTGATAGCTAGCACCAGTACCGGAAGGGTATGGCGATTGGCAGACTATCAAAGGGGACGTACAATAGATCAACAACTGGCTGCGGTGCATGGGGAAACCCACCCTTTCAATAATGAATGAATGAATGAATGAATGAATGAATGAATGAAGTCCAGTCTTCATGGTGCCAGAGATGGTGATCCATGCAGTGCTCTCACTCAAAGTATTTGCCATTTTGAGGCCTGAATTCTAAGTAGACAGGAGTATATGACGAATCTATGAAAGCAATTGTACATATATGCATCACAATCAGGAAAGTGTTTGTCATGTTGGTGGCAAAACAGATGAATATGGAACACAAGAACTGAGAAAAAGTCACGTGAAGCACACATGTAGCTCTATTAGGAAAAGTAAGGTGACTTCATGAGAAGAACAGCGATTTGTGACAAACACCAGAGATCACCATGGACAACTTCCCAATATGACTAAGGAATCACAAGTTCAAAATAAATTCAAGAGTAAGCTTTCTGAAAGCAAAGTCATGGCAACTGTCTTCCATGATATTTCTGGTTCACCAATGTTGAGTTCCTGTCAATTGTAACAGCCCTAACTGCCAACTATTATGCCTCTCTATTTCAGAATATATGCATGAATCCATTCAAGATAATTATAACATAATGAGGAGTGGCTCTGCATGAAAACAATGTCCACCCATAGAGAATCAAAAACAATTAATTTTCTTTATAAATCAATATTCTTCAGTCTCACTAGCCTAGCCCAGCACCAATCTTATATACCTGGCTACATTTATGGAACTGTCTTGTTCAGTAACTTTAAAAGAGTGACAATTAAATGAACTACACACCTCCCAACAGGCAGTGAACCTGGTGGTATTGTCAGTACTGGCTGTTGGAATGCATCTTTGAATGTACTTTCCAGAGGAATGGGTTCTCCTGCTCGTGGTAACACACATCTCTCTCCTGTTTCCCGCCGGCAACACCACAAGAACTGAAATAAAATATCTAAACTGTTCAGCACTGGTAATGAAGGTGCCTTTATACATGTATATGTGGGCTAGTGAAATCAATTATTATCTATATAAATAAAAACAAAATAAAAACTATGAAAAATCAATGCATTGGTTAGTTGCAAAATGGAATGTGTCCATAAATATAAATTACATAGGTAAAACAAAAACTGATCTTTCCCAAAATTATCACAGTAATCACTAATATTTTTATGACATCATCGTCATCATCATCATCGTTGTCCTCCTCATTATCATCACCATCACCACCGCAATAACAATAATGGCAGCGGCGGCGGTGGTGGTTGATACCTACGTAATCAACTACATCAATACATTTCTTTGACTATCAGCTGACTGCCTTATCAAACAACATTCTGGGGAAATGTTCTATTTCAAACTACTGTGATTCTTAAATTATAATAAATTTTGGTCTCTCCATCAGTTACTTTTTATAAAAGAAATTAACAACTAAGGTATTGTTTATATTAATGTATTATCATCTTGCAGAGGGTTCTGGGATCCTGTTATGGCCACTGCAGTATTTCCACATAGATATGCATATTGCTGTCATGAATATATTGCACAAAGTTTTAATATTGTTAGCTATCTTTGAATTTACGGGATACTTTCCAGAAGGGCAAAGTTTTTCAATCTTTTTCAACTCACAGTACACTGAACAAGGCACTGAAACTGTCAAGGTTCACCATCAATTTTTAAGGGGAGACTTTATCATTACAAACAAGTAATAAGATTGTGTTTAAAAGTTCAATAGCTAAAATTCTAATCGCTGTTATTTTTAAAAATAATTTTGATTAGAGATTTTGACAATTTTTTATTCCTCAATTTTTGTCACTTCTTTCTGACCTTCCCCTAAACTCCTATGGATCTGCAGACCCTTCATGCCTTACCAGTGTGCTGTGGCACACCAGGTGAAAATCACTGCAGTAGGGGCTCCAAAATTATTTGTTGTATCTCTTGTAAAAAGCACAATATCTCACTACGTCAATAAGCAGCAGATGACAACACTCTAGGTTCGGATCATAACGAGATTCATTACATTCACAAATTATGAAAGGAACTTCACAACTTTCAGAAGATACAATCAATGATTTTTGTGCAACAAATTGATATCTTACAGAAACAAAGCCATCATTATTTACAATCAACTGCTTTGTTTTGTGTCTCGTTTTCTACAAAGAACTTACTGGCACTGAAGATTTCTCAATGAAAGTTAGAAATTTTTTGTTGTATGTAAATCCTATCTTCTCTTGTAATAGAATATTTGATGCCTACTTTCTTTTTTAACCTACTTCCCTTATTTTTAAAAATGAAAGTAAGCTTATGAAGTGAACTTGCTGTGTTGTCTGTGTGTCTACAAGGTGTGTCCCAGAAGTCATGAAATATATTTCTTTCCCGCGCNGGGGGGGGGAGGCCTTTAGCTTCACAGCGAGCCAAAAGTCAGTCTGTTCGAGCATCGGAGGCGTCAGTATCGCTGATTTAGTGCACCTGTGTTTTGTGACCTCGTCACGGCGCGAGATGGCGGATACTTTCAAACAACGTTGGGCGGTCAAGTTCTGCACAAAGTTCAACAAAAAAGCTGCCGAAACTCATGATCTGCTTAAGCAAGCCTACGGGGTGTCTTCTCTATCATATGTGCAAGTTACAAGGTGGGTGAAGAAGTTTAAAGAGGGCCAGGAAGGAGTGGAAGATGACCCCCGCTCTGGACGGCCATCAACAAGCCAAACCGATGAAAATGTGACTCGTGTGCGTGATTTGTTGAATACTGACCGTCGAATGACTGTCCGGTTGTTAGCCGACACTCTGAACATTCCAAAAACCGTTGTGCATCGCATCTTTATGGACGAATTGAACATGCGAAAGGTGTGCGCCAAGCTGGTCCCCAAATTGTTGACGGACGAGCAAAAGGCCAATCAAGTGTTGGTCGCGAGTGAATTGAAGGAATGTGTGGAAATTGAACCTCATTGAGAATGCACTCAAAGGACGCCGTTTTGAAAGCATTCAGGCTATCCAAACAACCGTGACAACAGCTTTAAATGAGGTTCCCATCGAGGCCTTTGAGGGGCGTACTGGGTATGGGAGAGTTNGTGCATCGCATCTTTATGGACGAATTGAACATGCGAAAGGTGTGCGCCAAGCTGTTCCCCAAATTGTTGACGGACGAGCAAAAGGCCAATCAAGTGTTGGTCGCGAGTGAATTGAAGGAATGTGTGGAAATTGAACCTCATTGAGAATGCACTCAAAGGACGCCGTTTTGAAAGCATTCAGGCTATCCAAACAACCGTGACAACAGCTTTAAATGAGGTTCCCATCGAGGCCTTTGAGGGGCGTACTGGGTATGGGAGAGTTGGTGGAAAAAATGTGTAGATGCTCATGGACCATACTTTGAAGAATATTAACACTTTGTACCGATATGATCAATAAATTTAAAATGTATATATATATATTTCATGACTTTTGGGACATACCTTGTATATGTGCATCCCCCTAACAAATTTTGAATGCATGAACCAATCTTAACAAAACTTGGTATGTACATCATTACACCTGAGCCCATCTCAAAGGCGTAATTCATAAATCCCCAAATCACTAATACCGACATTACAACCTCTCAAATTTCTAAGACAATACCTTAATACTGCTTGAATACATTGACAAATCTTCACAAAACTTGGTATATATATCATGCCACATGAGGAAACCTCAATGACATATTTCATGAATTCTCTGATCAATAATACTAACATTACTGCCTCTCGAATTGTTGCAGTAATAGCTGTAATGTTACTTAAATACCTGAACCAATCATCATGGAAATTATTATGTACATCATGCCACCTAAGCCCATTTTAATAGCATTATCATGAATCCCTCCTGTCAATAACACCAACATTACAGCCTTTCAAACTGCTGTGGCAAAGTCTTAACATTTCTTCAACCACTTTACCAATCTTCATGAAATGTTACATGTATATCATGCCACCTAAGCCCATCTCAACAGCACACTTGATATTGATAGATTCCTTCCATCAGTAATGTCAGCATTACAACCATTCAAACTGCTGAGGCAAAAACTTAATTTTTTGTGAATGCCTATAAGAAACTTCATGAAACTTGGTTAAGTATATCATGCCACATTAAGCCATCTCAGTGATGTACATCAAAAAATCCCACCCAGTATTATCAACATTGCAGCCTCTGATATTTCTGAGACATAACCTTAATATTGCTTGAATGCCTGTAGCAATCTTCATGAAACTTGGTATATATATATATATCTTGCCACCTGAGACGATCTCAATGGCGCACATCATTAATCCTTCTCAACAGTAGTACCAACACTACAGCTTCTCAAATTGTTGAGATGAAACCTTTAATATCACTCAAATGCCTCAATTGATCGTCATGGGACTTTGTATTTTTATCATCCCACCTTAGGCCACCTCAATGGCATCCTTAAGAAATTTCTCCCATCATTACTACCAAAACTACAGCCTCTCAAATTTTAGAAGTAATGCACTTAATGTTACTTGAATTCTTTAATCAACTCTCTTGAAACTTGGTGCATATATGTCATGCCATTTTTAGATAATCTCACAGGCATAACTCATTCCCATTAGTAATACCAACACTGCAGTCTCTCAGATGGTCAAGGTAATAACTTTAATATTACCTGAATGCCCATACCAATAATCATGCCATGCAATTTGATGTCATCTAAACAGTGTAGTTTATAAATCACTACCATCGTAATAGCAACGGTGGACCCTCCCACATTGTTTGGCTTTACTGACTTCATTATGAATACACACTAAAGTTTTCTTCCTTCTTGTTGTATCAGAGCAACTTGAAGTTAAAACTGCAACTTTTATATTCAACTACTAGCGAAGTTGTGGGCACTTTGAATTTTACCAAAAAAAAAAAAAAAAACCAATACCTCAACAATTGTCTTACCTGCATCCAATGGGATTAGTTCTTTGTATACTCTGATGAATATTTTCCAGTTTGTTTGAAAGTACACGTAGTTCAGTAAGTGTCCACTATCACGAATTCTTCGAAATCATCGATCTTGGATGTTTTATAACACCTGACCATGTTTTCCTCCAGATGGACGACCTGGTGTTTTTCTCTTGTGTGGAGCACAGTTTTGAACTTTTGGAACATGCTTTTTAGAATGATTTCATTTCATGCAACTTCCTATTTTGGCACAAATCAGTAAACTATTCCTGGGATATTTTCTGTGCAGAATATTTACAGTTCTAGTGGGCACATGATTTGATTAAAATAAGTTCTTTGAAGACTGGCTTTCGCTGCTTGCCTCTTCGTGGTGCTGCCAATGCCGTCACAGGCATTCTTCCCGTGCGAGGTGGCAAAGAATCCATTCTGCTTCAAGTCCGAAGTCTTCATAGTGATGACATAAATTGGAAAGATTCTTTTTGTTTTTACATTGGCTTCCAGCGCCATCACTGAAATAAATAACTTTCCTGACTGGAGGCAAATTTTCTTTTATATCGGCGATAAGAAATTTTTAGAACACATAAACTGTGGCTCTATCGTGCTTTACATGATCACTGATTATACACAAGCTTGGGCATTTTCTTATAGTGTCCGCCTTGTAGTAATACACAAAAGGGTGAAGTGTAGCCTGTTGATTTACCCAATGGAAACTCTGAATCTCGTCTTGAACGAGAAACGAAAAATTTTCTGCAAAATCTGTAAAATTTAAAGTGCCCACAACTTCACTATCACTTGAATATCAAAGTTGTAATTTTAACTCCAAGTTACTCTAGAATAGAGCATTATTTGCTATGAATTTCAAATTT